GAGGTGTCCTCGCCGACCTTCTCGGCCTCGGCTGCATTGGCTTGCGAGCGCAGTTGCGCGATCATCCCATCCACCTGTTTGGGATCGATCCGCGGCGCCCCAAGGAGCCCCCCGCGCCTCGTGAGCTGCATGACCACCGTGTAGTCCAGCCCGCGCGTTGACTTGATGGGGTCATGGGAGTTAGGTCAGTCGCAAGCCGCAAGCCTTCCGCGAGCAGCCCATGTGCGTGGTAGCCCCCCAGCAAAAGGGGGCGTTGTCCTTATTGCGGGGTGCGTGTGCCACGGAGCGCGTGCGCTCCTGGCGTGTTAACTCCTTACCCGCCGGGTACGCCCTCTCGGGTGCCGTCCCCGCTGGGGCGCCGGTGCCCGCCTTGGGCCCCGCCTTCGGCTAGGGCCCAGCCCCCGCCTTGGGCCTGTCGTCGCCTAGCGCCGAGGGCTGGGACTCGCCTATCTCATCATCCCCATCCCGCCTTCGGCGGCCTCTTCGTAAGATGGGCGTTCAATTGCCCATTGAGGAGGCGCTTGAGCGCAGCCTTACGCCGGGGTACCACTATCTGCTGGCAGTAGGCATTCGGATCCCCGAGGTCGAACGTTCGGGGCAGGTCGTAGCCATTCTCCGGCATGAGCAGAATGTACTTGATGTCCTCCTTCCTCGGGTTCTCGGTGTCGAGCTCCCGGCAGATCCGACGTCTCAGCTCCCGTAGCTCTTCGACCCAGGTACTCCGGAGTTCTTCCCAGATCCTTGACCCAATGATCTGGGAACTCCGAGGGATCCCTCTCGAAGGCCGCCTCCAAGAAACCCAGTGACCGCCGGCGTTCAGCCCCGTGCGCTACTCCTACGATGGACTCGAACATCTGGATCTCGCACCGGGCCCTCTTAAACCAAGTCGCCATGTGTGTGGCGGGCCGCTGGCGGGGCTCCAATTTGTCGTCCACAGGGAGCCTGTAGCCGTCGAAGTCCTCGTCGCGTGCCGGGATGCAGTCGTCCACTCCCAGGTCGCGTGGGCCCGTCCCGAAGGCGAGCGCCGCGTAGCCGTGCGCTACGCGGTTGGTAACCAGGCAGGGAAACCCGATCGTCTTGAGCGTGCTCTTGGAGTGCGCACACATGCGCTTGAGAGTCGAGCAGGTCCTTTCCAGTGATCCCCTCGCAGGCAGGGGTTACATCCTCTGGCTATGTAGAGATCCAGCTCCTCGTCCCGGCCGATCCCCGCCCGGGTGCCCCGGGCCTTCTTGTCGCCCTCGGTGGCCCGCGCCTGCCGCTCGGCGGCAAGGACGTGGCGCTCGGCGAGGCGATTCTGGCGATCCAACCGCTCGATGATCTGGGCTTCGGCCTCGGCCGTAAGGCCGCCCAGGGCCCCAGGTGCTCCGGCGTCGTCCGGGCCACCAGCACGCTCTCCACCCATCCCGCCCCCGCGGGGCGACTGGCCGGTGAGTTGCCCAAGGATCGAGGGCCCGTCGAGGAGCGGATTGGTCCCGCGAGCGGGGCCCCCGCGTCCCTCGCGCGCCAGTAAGTCGCGATCGCCCAGTAGGCCGCGACGCGGGTCCGTGGGTCGGACGGCGGGCACGGCCCCGAAGAGTTCACGCCGGGGCACCTGCCTCGGGCTGGGACCCCGTCCCCGCGCCGAGCGGCTCCGCGACCCTTCGCGTGAGAGGCTGCCCTGCAGGGGAACCTTGTCGCTGGCTGCGGCACGCTCGCGCGCGCGCGCCTCCAGCTGCGCATCCTCCAGAACCGCGAGGGCGCGCTCCAGATCGGGCCCCAAGGGGCCCGCCGCCGCCACTTGAGCGACCCTCCTCCGCAGCTGCCGGTCCGCCTGGTCAAGTGGGATCCCGAGTAGGTCAGCGGTCATACCCAGCGCGCTGAGGGCCGCTGCTTGCCCCCCTCGCCCCTTGAGATCCTCCGCTCGAAATTAGGGTATCCATAAATATCTCGAGGGGATCAGGCTCCTCAGCATCCTCGCCCGCGCTGGCGGCGGCCGCCGCCGGGTGCGGTGGGGCTGCAACTGGGGCTGGGCGGGGCAGGCCCTCCGCGCCGGGCGCAAGGTGCGCCCCGTGCGCGCCGCCCCGCCAGTGGCGGCCGAGCGTGCGCCCCGGGTCGTGCTGTAGCTGCTGGCGCTCCGCGCCCGTCAGGTAGCGCCGCCTCCAGCCGCTCGCGCTCTCCACGCCCACACCGCCCCCTTGCTCCTGGCGTAACATCGCCAGCAGATCCTGCGGGAGGTGGTGGGCGATGATGCGCAACCCCACCTCCCGTGCGCCATGGGGGACCTCGCACAGCAGCCGATTGATCCAATCAATCGGGCAACGCCCGTCCTCCAGAGGGGGCGGATACCGCACGACCTCGCTGGCTGGGACCTCCTCCCTGACACCCTCGAGGCTGGTCCCGATGATAAGTCGGGCGACCCCGCCCGTGCCTCGCGCGTCGAGTCCCTCGCATTCACCCAATAGAATGCAGCGTGGACTCGCCGGGGGAGCGCCGCATGCACCCTCGGCCCCCCGGGGGTCGCCCGGGAGTATCGGGCAGACCTTTGCGAGGATGGGCTCCTGAAGCCACCCGTGATGGGCGATCCGATCGCCCGGAGCTCCACGGTCGGCGGGCCGTGAGCGTTCGCTGGCCCTCGCTTCCGCGGATCGTGATCGACGCGGCTGCGGTCCTGAGGCCAGGGCCTGGACCCTCGTAGGGTCAAGACCCCCTCGGCGGCGTGCGCGGCCCAGTCGCGCGCCTTGGCGGGGCTCGGTACCCGCGCTCTCATGCGACGGCGTAGGCCTCCGAGAATCCCCGGCTGGACCGTCGCCTCGACGCGCACGGTGTGGCCCTCGTCCCGTCGAAGGTGCTCCCCGCACATCGGAGCCCCCCCGCAGCTACCCTTCGCCATGCGGAGGCATGTGGGAAGGCTGCACTTGCGGCCGATGACGGTGGACCGATACTTCTGAGCATGGTGGGCGCAGAGATGCACCTGAGCGTTGAAGCAATGCCCCGGCCGAGGGACATCCGATACCTCTGCGTCCTCCTGCAGCAGGACAGTCGCCTCCTGCATCCCTCGGTCCCCGCACCCCTCAGGCTGGAGGGGGCGCGCTCCGCCTGCTAGCTGCACCCCAACTTGTGCGGCTTGGCAGGGGCGCTCCTCAGCCTCCACCTCGCTCTCCGAATCGATATCCAGGCGGCGGCAACCCGTGGCGTCAGTGATGTAGCGGGGCTCCGGCCGGGCCCGGCACAGCCATCCGCACACCGACCAGGGCGGGCAGGCAGAGCAGCCACTAGAGGACCCCGAATACCTTCCGGAGTCCTACGCCGACTGCCCGGCAGGCCGTAGCCTTTCCGTGCTCGACAAAGTCCACGATCTGCGCGTGGTCGATGGCCGCGTACTGGTCAACATGCATGGGGTGCGCCACCGGGCAAGATGCGCACTCGACGGCACGGCATAGGTGCACGTTGCCGGTCTCCTCGAGGTTCAGCCGCCACTTAGGCGACTGGTGCACCCCAGGACCTGCCCGATCTTAATGTTGAGTCCGCGGCGTCGGGAGAGCTCACCCACGCACCGTAGCCCACGAACTCGAAGACCCAGGCGGCGAAGCCCCAGCCTGGACCTGACTCCGTCTCAGGGGGCGGGGTGGATGGCGGAGGTGGTGGCGGAGGCGTGCTCCGGCCGGCCTACCCAACCGCTCCACCCCCAGTATCCGTCCGGCCCGCGCGGCTGGTCAAGCTCGCCATCGCCCGTCCGGTTCTCCGGGGCGGATGGCTGCCCACTCGCGCCTACGGGCCCGTCGCTCTCCTCACGCGCCGGCGTAGCAGGGCTGCCCGAGGGCTCGCCCCTGCCTGCGCGCCCAGTGCCCGCAGGGGTGGTCGTCGTCGTCGTCGACCTCGCCCTCGGCGGCGAGGGGGTGGGGGTGCCTGGCACCCCTGGGGGCTTGGCCGGCGGCCCTCGCCCCTTCCCTCCTTCAGGCGCGGACTTGGCAGGCGGACCCCGCCCTTTGCCTTGCCCCCCACCGCCTGTCGGTAGGGCTTTCGGTCCGGGCAAGGCTGGCGGCGTCGGCGCTGGGACCTCGTCCCCCGCGCGCCCGAACGGCAGCCAGCTCAGCGCCCCCTGGACCGAGAAAGCACCACCCATAACCAGGATCATCAGGTGCGCCCCAAGGAAGCCCACAGCCATGGCACCGCAGCAGCGCCCCCTAGTCCGCGGACTAGCACGGCTACGGTTATGGCCGCACCGCGGCCCCCTGGAACACCCGCGCGTCGGCCTGAGCCGAACGCTACGGACCCAAAATGGCTACCTGAGCCCACACCCCCTCCCACTTAACCTGCAGTCTACAAACCTATCAGACTATACAAAAACAGTTTTGAAATCATCACACATCAGCGAGGGGTCGGGTCCTGAGTCCGAGGACTCTGCGGGCTCCAGGTGCTTTTGGAACATACACGCGGCCATGTGCTCCGCGACAGAGGCCCTCTGTGGCACCTCATCTGGGACAGGCCACCTGATGCCTCTGATTAGCTTCCCAGACTCAGAACACTCGACAAACGATCAGCCCGCTCTCGCAACAGAAGGGATAGGACCATCAAAATAAGATCCATCACTGTCTTGACAGACGCTTGCTTTCCTTGGCCCATCCGCGCCTCGGAGGAGTGGTGGGGCTACTAAGAGCTGTCCTCGTACAAAACTGTGTACCTGTAAGTCGCTCGTTGACTGGGTTGTGGGAGTTTGGGCCTGGGACCTAGGAGAAGAAAGAATGAGGAGACATGCTGCCCTGACCTCCACCCTCCCTCTCCTCGTCTTTCTGCCTCGACCCCCTCCCATGTAGAAGAAGAGAAAACGACATCAACATGACCCTCGGAACGCCGCAGATTCCTCGGATCGGCCCCTGGGGCCCCTGGCGGCACCTCCAGCGGCGCCACTGGCGCGTTCCGCGCGCCAAGGAAAAGGGTCCAGCGCCGAACCAAGAAATCCGCGCGCGGCTCCACAGCTATGTGTACCTTGCTTTGTCCTTCGGCTCCGTGGCGGAAGGCGCCTGCTTGCTCAGCGGCTGCCTTGCCGGCGGGCGAGTTCTGCGCAAACTCCCAGCTGGCCTGAGGGGAGCGGGGCGCGGAGGGGTGGCCGATAGATTTAAGTCGGGGAACATTCCAAAATACTTTCAAGATAGTATGGGAACGATGTTTCCACTATCTGTTGACCATGCTACTTTGAAGTCTCCGCCCAGACTCCGCCCGTAATGGGGGGACACGCCCACCCTAACGACAGATCGGTGACAAGCCACCAGCAGCGAAACCGCGCGTTCCCGGGCAGGGTGGGGTGCCCAAGCCCAGGTCGGCGACGCAGGGGGCGGTCAGAGATCGATTCCCCCTGAGCTCCTCCTTCTCCTCCTCCTCCTCCTGCTCCTCCCCTTCCCCCTCCTCCTCCTCCTCCTCCTCCTCCTCCTCCTCCTCCTCCTCCTGCTCCTCCTCCTCCTCCTCCCCTCTTCCTCCTCCGCCTCCTCCCCCTCCTCCTCCCCTCCTCCTCCTCATCCTCCTCCTCCTCCTCCTCCTCCTCCTCCTCCTCCTCCCCTCCTCCTCGTCCTCGTCCCCTCCTCCTCCTCCTCCTCGTCCTCGTCCTCGTCCTCCTCCTCCTCCTCCTCCTCCTCCTCCTCCTCCTCCCTCTCCTCGTCCTCGTCCTCCTCCCCCTCCTCCTCCTCCAGACCTCCGCTTCCTTCCATTCCACCTTCCTATCCTTCCAGACCTTTGAGACTGCTTTTTTTTGTTCCATTATTTAGGGTAACGGCTATTGCCCGGGGGGGAGGGGTTTGGGCCGGCGGGTAACGGCGACGGCGGCCGCGGCGTGAGCACCACGCCATGCCTGTGAGCACAGCGCCATACCTGCTGAGAGGAGGAGGGTCCGCCCTCCACCCCCAAACAAATGTACGATCGTTAGCGTTACCCGGGGGCGGGGGGGGGGTTGGGCCCGGGTAGCAAGCGTCACCCTCCAGAGGAACAAAACAAAAAAAACGCTCTCTTTCTTTCCCTTCTATTCGCCCCACGTTCCCTTCCAAGGCCACGCTTCCCGGCCAGGGAGGATGGCAGGGGACGTGCCGGAAGCAGAAGGGGCGCCACTGTATCCTCATCCCGTGGGTCTTCACCCGCCTCTTCGACGCCTGGCGGATCTGTTCCTGGCCATCCTGCGCTGGTTCTCGTTTTTGAATCAAGCGCTGCTCGCGCGTCTGCGCGACTCCGCCTCCTTCTCCTCATGTCAGCTTGTGGTTGACAAATCCGTGGGGGGCGCGTGTTAAAATTACCCTGCGACGTACCCAACCCACGTGCATCAAGTGGCAAGAGGAGTAGGCCAACATTAGCAGGAACAACGATAATGTAGGCGATGTGAATTGCTGCGCAAACTACATGGGATGCGCACGCATTGCACGGCTCACAGGACGACGATCGAAAGAACGAGGATTAAAGCCCCAGGCTCGCGTATGACGTCACTCCGCTGGGCCACCCAGCAGCCCTCGAAAGTGGTGACAGTTTCGCAGATCGCAGCCCCCCAAGGATGGCGAGGTCTAATCTGAATCCGAATATGTCCCCACTCCGCTGGGCCCTCCAGCAGCCCTCGAAAGTGGCGACAGTTTCGCAGATCGCAGCCCTTTGGGGATGGCGAAGTCGAGCCTGAGTCTGCGTAGGACCCACTCCGCTGGCCCCCCAGCAGCCATCGAAAGTGGCGACGGTTTCGCAAATCGCAGTCCCCCAGGAATGGCGAGGCCGAATCTGAGTAGTTACCCCACTCCGCTGCCCCCCCCAGCAGCCCTCGAAACTGGCGACAATTTCGCAGATCGCAGCCCCCCCCAGCGATGGCGAGGTCTAATCAGAGTCCCCGTGGGGGGCTCACTCCGCTGGTCACCCCAGCAGCCCTCGGAAGTGGCGACAATTTCGCAGATCGCAGCCCCCCAGAGATGGCGAGGTCTAATCTGAGTCCCCGTGGGGCCTCACTCCGCTGGGCCCCCCAGCAGCCCTCGAAAGTGGCAACGGTTTCACATTACAGATCGCAGCCCCCCAGAGATGGCGAGGTCTAATCTGAGTCCCCGTGGTGCCTCACTCCGCTGGGCCCCCCGGCAGCCCTCGAAAGTGGCGACAGTTTCACAGATCGCAGCCCCCCCAGGGATGGCGAGGTCTAATCGGAGTCCCCGTCCCCGTGGTGCCTCACTCCGCTGGACCCACCAGCAGCCCTCGAAAGTGGCGACAGTTTCACAGATCGCAGCCCCCACAGATGGCGAGGTCTAATCTGAATCCCCGTGGTGCCTCACTCCGCTGGACCCACCAGCAGCCCTCGAAAGTGGCGACAGTTTCACAGATCGCAGCCCCCCAGAGATGGCGAGGTCTAATCTGAGTCCCCGTGGTGCCTCACTCCGCTGGACCCACCAGCAGCCCTCGAAAGTGGTGACAGTTTCACAGATCGCAGCCACCCCCAGAGATGGCGAGGTCTAATCTGAGTCCCCGTGGTGCCTCACTCCGCTGGACCCACCAGCAGCCCTCGAAAGTGGCGACAGTTTCACAGATCGCAGCCCCCCAGAGATGGCGAGGTCTAATCTGAGTCCCCGTGGTGCCTCACTCCGCTGGACCCACCAGCAGCCCTCGAAAGTGGCGACAGTTTCGCAGATCGCAGCCCCCCACAGATGGCGAGGTCTAATCTGAATCCCCGTGGTGCCTCACTCCGCTGGACCCACCAGCAGCCCTCGAAAGTGGCGACAGTTTCACAGATCGCAGCCCCCCAGGGATGGCGAGGTCTAATCTGAATCCCCGTGGTGCCTCACTCCGCTGGACCCACCAGCAGCCCTCGAAAGTGGCGACAGTTTCACAGATCGCAGCCCCCCACAGATGGCGAGGTCTAATCTGAGTCCGCGTGGTGCCTCACTCCGCTGGACCCACCAGCAGCCCTCGAAAGTGGTGACAGTTTCACAGATCGCAGCCACCCCCAGAGATGGCGAGGTCTAATCTGAGTCCCCGTGGTGCCTCACTCCGCTGGACCCACCAGCAGCCCTCGAAAGTGGCGACAGTTTCACAGATCGCAGCCCCCACAGATGGCGAGGTCTAATCTGAATCCCCGTGGCTGCCCTCGAAACTGGCGACCGCTGGATGGCCCACCAGCTGGCAGCCCTCGAAAGTGGCGACAGTTTCACAGATCGCAGCCCCCCACAGATGGCGAGGTCTAATCTGAATCCCCGTGGTGCCTCACTCCGCTAAGTGGCGACAGTTTCACAGATCGCAGCCCCCCCAGATGGCGAGGTCTAATCTGAATCCCCGTGGTGCCTCACTCCGCTGGACCCACCAGCAGCCCTCGAAAGTGGCGACAGTTTCACAGATCGCAGCCCCCCACAGATGGCGAGGTCTAATCTGAATCCCCGTGGTGCCTTACTCCGCTGGACCCACCAGCAGCCCTCGAAAGTGGCGACAGTTTCAGATCGCAGCCCCCCCCCAGAGATGGCGAGGTCTAATCTGAATCCCCGTGGTGCCTCACTCCGCTGGACCCACCAGCAGCCCTCGAAAGTGGCGACAGTTTCCAGATCGCAAAGGGATGGCGAGGTCTAATCTGAATCCCCGTGGTGCCTCACTCCGCTGGACCCACCAGCAGCCCTCGAAAGTGGCGACAGTTTCACAGATCGCAGCCCCCACAAATGGCGAGGTCTAATCTGAATCCCCGTGGTGCCTCGCTCCGCTGGACCCACCAGCAGCCCTCGAAAGTGGCGACAGTTTCACAGATCGCAGCCCCCCCAGGGATGGCGAGGTCTAATCTGGGTCTGAGTATGACCCCACTCCGCTGGGCCCCCCAGCAGCGCTCGAAAGTGGCGACAGTTTCACAGATCGGGAGAAGGGAGGAGAGGAGGGGGACGGGAAGGAGGAGGAGGGAAGACGCGACCGCAGTGCTCTATTCAAAACGAGCACCCAACGCAGGAGTGTTGGGAAAAATAGTTTTCCTGGGTGAATCGCGGGGTGGCGCGCGCCATATTGAAAATCAACGGGGCGGCGCCCGTGATTAGCGTCGACGCCCGGCCAGCAACGAGGGGCAGGGGGGGGGTGTTTGGAGGCTAACTGACATCGCCTGCTGCCTCTTACCTCCTGCCTGCGTGCCTTCTAGCTCCCACGTGTCGCCCGCATCGCGGTTCCCTTGGGAGTTGACAAGGGCGCAACTGCCGCCAAGTGGGGGAGCTCCTGGGAGGTCCAGCGGAGCGGAATGCCACGCGACCCCAGTCGATGTTCCCTGCCAGCTGCGCAGCTGTCGCCCTCTTTGGGGGCTCCCGGGAGGTGCTTGACGCCGCCATAGCCTGACCCAGGCCCAGCGTTAGGTCGGGCATGTCCCTCTACGGGCGGATTCTGGGCGAAAAATAAAAGATAGTTTCAACATGCTCAAACGTGGTCAAAAATAGTAGTAAAATCACCCCCAGAAAATTCCCAACCATCCTGTGGTGTTGGGTCCTCGTTTTGGCAAATGAACGCCCCGCGTCCTCACTCCTCCCGCTGCCCTCCCTCCTCCCATCCTCCCCCTCGCACTCTCCCCCCCCCCTTTTGGCACACCCCTCACACCGTTCCTGGCCCCATAGGGAACTCCACCAAACGCCAAGATGCCAGCGCTCGCACGCGCCAACCGCACCCATTTTGACACACCCCTCAAATGTTTTGTGTCCCCATAGGGAGCTCCACCACAGGGCTAGATGCCAGCGCTCGCATGCGCCTATCGCACCAATTTTGGCACACCCCTCACACGTTTTGTGGCCCCATTGGGACCTCCACGGAAGGCCCACATGCCAGCGCTCGCATGCGCCCACCGCGCCAATTTTGGGACACCCCTTAATCGCTTCTTGGCCCATAAAGAGCTCCACCACAGGCCCAGAAGCCAACGCTCGCTTGGCCCACCGTACCCGGCACACCCCTCACACGTTTTGTGGCCCCATAGGGAGCTCCACCGAAGGCACACATGCCAGCACTTGCATGCACTCACCGCGCCAATTTTGGCACACCCCTCACGCGTCTCGTCACCCCACAGGGAACTGCACCGAAGGCCCAGATGCCAGCGCTCGCATTCGCCCACTTCACCCATGTTCGCACGCACACACACACACAACGGCAGCCCCCACAACTGCATATGGTTGGGTCTGCGCCAGTTTTTTATTAAACTGAAAACAATCGCCCAACTTCAACCTGGCGCCGCAGCCCATTCCCGAGCTGCCCCTGGCACCCCCCGAACGGCAGCGCGCCACGGCGGTGAGGTCAACAGGGACAGACCGAACGCCACCCGAAGTAGGGCGAACGATTCGACGAATGGCTACGGATGGATACGGAGGAAGAAGAAGAGGAAGAAGAAGAGGAGGAAAATGAAGAGGAGGAGGAGGGGGAGGAGGAGGACGAGGAGGAGGAGGAGGAGGAGGAGGAGGAGGAGGATGGGGAGGAGGAGGAGGAGGAGGAGGAGGAGGAGGAGGAGGAAGACGACGACGCTTGGCGGTT